AAAAGGTCCCTTGATTAATAAATAAGACAGAAATCCTATGAAAGATTTCCTTTAAGTCCATTGGGTGGGCTCTGTATCATGATACTGCTCTGTGGAAAAGATATGATTTCAAGCATGAAAATCCACTGCAGAAATCAACAGCACGACACCATACAGCACGGTTTCTGGCAGTGGCTTCATTTGTATTCCTTCCTATTGAAACATGATTGTGTGTGCAAATATATGGTTAGTTTCCTTCAAGAGCCCCACAGAACCAATGTGCACAATATAAGGACCATGTTTTCAGTGAGGAGAACTTACCGTAATAGTTTTCAGTACTAAATGGAAGAGGTGCATATAGCAAAACTAGAAAAAATAACATGCCACTTGGGTCATGCTCACAATACATATACCATACCCAGGTTCCTTTGGCACACACACTCAAATATTCTCATATGTACAGGCAAATTGAACTTACACACTTTGTACATATCTTCAACTACAATAAAACTAATTAGTCAATAAATCACATTTTAGGTTACAGATCATTATTTCAGGCATCCAAGTTCAATTTACATGCCAACAGTTGCCTATTTGCCGTTAATAGATATGGTATTCAAAAGTAAAGATAACAAATGCATAATCATTTAAACATCATTATACCATCCTGATGAAAAGTATTTGAGAAGGCAGCACCCATTGAAGCTATTTACTTTTTTATTATGAAGCAATGCTAATCGTAAACTTAAATGATGAATGCACATTATATAGAGAAGGAAGCTAGTGTAGAATCTTCATATCTACGTGTACTTCTGCTCATGTTGTATTTATTTTTATTTATTTTATTTTATTTGTTCGATTTATATCTCGCCCATCTGGTATATTCTACCACTCTGGGCGGCTTACAGAATATCAAAAACAATTTTAAAAAATGTAGTAGAATGGGTTCAAAGGTAAGGTTTATACACACAGTTATTTTTGTCACAGAAATGTTTAATTTTCCCAGTGGCCTTACAACAGTATTGTAATGCATAGTATGGAACTTGCTGCATCATAACTTCTACATTTATTGTAACCTTCCTACTTTGCTAGTGGTGTGATATGGCAATGTCATAGTGAAAGTACACAAAAGCACAACCTTCCAATACAAGGAACTTAGTGAGCAGTTTGTTGATTCTGAGTATAAGGAGAGTGAGAAGTGGAACATGGAGATTCGTAAAAACATGCATAGCGGTCTTATGCTAAGGCAAACCACTGGCCCATCTATAGCCTACCTAGCTTAGCAGAGAAAACTCTGACTGGAAGCAACTCTCCAAGTTTTGGGGTAGGATTCTTTATTAGCCCTTACATGGAAATCCTTATTATTCACTGGTGGTCTCTCATCCGAGTCCTAACCAAGCTGGACCCTGCTTAGTTTGCAAAACCAGACAAGCTCAGATTGTGTTCAGGCTAGGGGAATACCTTATGACTTTAAGTATTCAAGAATTTAAAAAATTCTTGAATACTTAGTATTTAAAAAACAAATGGCTTTGAGTGTTTTGAATGGTCCTCCAGCAATATATTCTAATTCTGCTGACTGGATAAAAATGCCTTAAGGCCTCACATTGTTAACCATGCTGGAAGGGAAGGCTATCTTGTTCTCTGGCTCCTGTTCTTCCCCTTTCAGTACTGTGCTAGCTCTGAAACAGAGCATGGAATAATGAGGTACCTACAATGAACTGTGATACCACAGTTACCAGCTATGAGTTACCTCTTTGTTAGGATTTTACTTCTGTGGTAGTGGTGTTGTAGAAGCTGATCCAGAGCTCACTGCAGATCTTATCATGGGCTCTGGAGCAAGAGAGTACTTGTAGTACGCTCTTACCCCTGACAAAGGCAAGACATCTGCCCTCAAACTCCACAAAATGTGTGCTATCACTCACTTGTAGTTCTTAACCCTCTCACCTTGCTGCTCTTCAAAGCACCAGGAATAGTGGATGAAGGACTGCTCTAGATATTTTCTTTCATAGTTATGAGACTCAAGGATGATAAAGCCTATTATTTCTCCAACTGACTGGCTCAGCGGGCTATGCAAATATCCCATATTCCTGCCTAGCTAGTGTAAGAAAATTATTTTTATTAACCAGATTAATCGTATGAAATATTAGCACTGTGTTAATATTAAGCTACTAAGGTTGTGACCAGAGCTTGAATTTCTTTAAAGCTTAAGCTTCTGAGCTGGATGCTATTAGGCAATCCAGAGATATGCTTCCTGTGCCCTTTTCAGCTAATATCGATTAAGTTGTCATTGTTATGTGCCATCAAATTGGGACTGACAGATGTTAGGAATTGTGAATATGACTACACACCACAAACCACAAAATGTACTGTCTAAAATGCAGTGTAACTTAAGTTGGAAAATCCATATCTGTAAACATTATAACCTGATCTGTATACATCTAGATGTCCCTGTGAAGAACGAATGATTGACACATGCTATGACAAGGTTATAAAAAGTCTGTGGTTTGGGGGTGGGGATGATGCCTTTTGCCCACTCTGGACTTGAGGGCATGGAGCCACCGGTGATCACATTTTAAATAAACAAGCCTGCTTTGGAGAACAGGTTTATTATTACTATTATTTGGAAAAAAAATTTCTTGACACTACTATCTGCTGATTCCAGCCATGTTAAGAACTCCAAATATTCCCATCAGGAAATGTGCTTCAGAGCTCCCAGAACTTCATACAAAAAAGTGAGCTCAAATATGAGCCTCGTGGCGCAGTGATTAAAACGTTGTACAGTGGGGTCTTGACTTAAGAACAATAATAATAATAATAATAATAATAATAATAATAATAATAATAATAATAATAATAATAATAATAATAATAATAATAATAATAATAGGACAACCATCACAATGGAGTGGACAGAGTGCCAGAACTCCAGAAACCAGGGTTCACTCCCCACTCTGCCATTGACATTCTCGAGGGATGTGCAGCAATGGGGAGTAAACCACTTGAACTTGATGGCACATAACAACAAAGATGTTCTTACCATATTACAACAGTTCAATGTCATCCTCAGAACATCATGAGCCTCGTGGCGCAGTGGTTAAAACGCTGTACTGCAGCTAAAACTGTGCTCACGACCTGGGGTTCAAATCCCAGGTAGCCAGCTCAAGGTTGACTCAGCCTTCCATCCTTCCGAGGTCGGTAAAATGAGTACCCAGCTTGCTGGGGGGGCAATGTGTAGCCTGAATAATTAACGTAAACCACCCAGAGAGTGCTTGAAGCGCTATGGGGCGGTATATAAGTCCAATAAATAAATAAATAAAATAAATACAAAAAAGTGCTGGAAGTATGTTGTTCAAGTCTGTAAGACTTTATTTATCCCAATTTGTTTATTTTCTCACTGCTTCCTCTGGCCTCCTACTTGCAAATTCTTCTCCAAGCTGACAATATGCTTTCGGAACTGCAAATGCTTTCCCACATTTGTAGGAAGATCATGAAGCTTGCTTCTTCTCTGCAGTCATGTGCTATTCTGACCATTCTGTTGGAAATCAGTGCACACAGCATATGAAGAGGAAATCTCTGTGCCCTTTTCAGCTAATATCGATTAAGTTGTTATTGTTATGTGCCATCACATTGGGATTGACTTATAGTGCCTCTAATAGGGCTTTCAAGGTAAGTGTGATATTTAGGGACTGATATCCCCCCCCCAACTGAGTTTCCATGGCTGACTGGGGATTTGAGCCCAGGTCTCCTGAGTCCTTGTCCATCATTCTATCCACAGCACCATACTGGAGAGTTAAAGGAATAAAATAAAAAGAGAATTTTAAAAGGGTGGGAGGAAGCACGCTGACCATAGAAAGGTATGCTGAATCAGCCCATGTATGCTGCTTGATTGTGCATGTTACCATTTCACAAAGTTAACCTTGGAGAAAATGAAGTTTATGATTCGGAGCCAAATTTAAGCTCACTCATTTGCAAAAACAATGAGCCACACATCAATTCCTCCGCACTTCCAATGTGGCTGTGCCAATTGCTCCCATATGCTTTTTCCATCATGTACTCTTTCCTTGAAAACTAAAGTGTGAGAAGGAGATTGCATTACTAAGTTCTCTGCATTATAAAAGTATTAGTTTGGCTGATATGGGACTGATGAAAAGCATGGCGTACTTCCCCTTCACCGAGTGTATGGAAGTTGAGAGACTGAACTCCAAAAGTGCCAGAATCTTCCATGTGTTTTGGGGAAATTGTAAGTACGGTGGTCTAAAGTACAGTGGTGCCTCACTTGACAATGTTAATTCGTTCGAGCAAAATCGCTGTAGAGCGAAAACGTCATCAAATGAAATTAAAAAACCCATTGAAACGCATTGAAAAGCATTCAGTGCATTCCAATGGGCTGAATACCTGCTCGTCCAGAGAAAATCCACCATACGGCGGCCATTTTCGGTCCCTATAAAGTGAGGAATCTGTCCTAGAAAACAGCAGGGGGCCATTTTCTTCAGCCGGCGGCCATTTTTAAACCCGACTATCAGCTGTTTGCTGATCGTCGTAAAGCGAAAATCAGTTCCCGAAGCAGGGAACCGATTATTGCACAGTGAAAAAACCCCATTTAAAACATCGTTTTGCGATCGCAAAAGCGATCGCAAAAACGTCAACATAAAGCAGATTCATCATAGAGCGGGGTAATCCTCCAGTGGGGCACGGCTGTAGTAAAGTTTCCAAGCTTTGTGAAGTCTCAGAGGTAATCATGAACTCAAACTTTAGTATTCTGTTCCTGACACACCTTTCTTGAAGGAAATGCCAGATGGCAAGATTTTTTAAAACTGTCTCAAATGATTCTCTAACACCATCTGAATTCATCAGGAAACTCTCCTGCACAAGTCACACTGGCAATACTGGCAGCTTTATGACTTCACTGGTGCTCAGCAACACAGTAGTCTTCTAATGAAACGTGCTTTCACAGCTACCGTCCTCTGCTGACACAGAGGCTTCTTAAACATTAAGCAACATTACAGAGTTTGATTTTTTACCTGAAATTGTATTTTCTGGTCAATGTGAGGCACATGGAACTGTTTCAGGAAACGCTCGTCTTTGCTCCAGAACAGGCGGATGTCAGGGATCCCGTAGAGGATCATGGCCAGCCTCTCTAAGCCCAGGCCAAACGCCCATCCAATTTTGTTCTCAGCACCAGCTGAAATCAGAGAAGGGAAAACTTTCAATGGCTGAACAATGGAATACATGAACATTCTGTTGGTAGGCAAATTTCAAATAAGCTAGAATAGAGTAAATGAAGATATGGTAGCTGTTTGGGGTGAGGTTTAAAGGAATTTGCAAATATCAATGGCGGCAAATTAGGTCCAAAGAATGGCAGACAGCAGATTACCACTCCATTCTTAAGTCTGCTTTTTCAATTATATTTCATGTACTGATAGGCACAATTTATTTATTTATTTATTTGATTTGTACCCCGCCTATCTGGACCAATGCAACTTGATAATAAAAATGAGTCCTAAAATGGATTCATACAAAAGCATTAAGAAATTCAACAGAACGTTATGCATTCTTCCTCCTTCCTTCAAGACAGGTGCATACACCAACCCATGAGTTAATGCACATAAAACAAACCAGTGAAGAGTAATTGCTAGGTGCAGTAGATTTCTAAGCAAAAAGCATCAGATAAATAAAGCAAGTAAGCAATGTTACAAATAATAATCTTTGTCATTTATTATGACCCAGGATTTAACTTCCAAGTAAACAACAGCACTATCATTTAAAGAAATGGATACAAATTAAATGCCGTCCCATAATTCCATAATAGCAGTGCAAAGGCAATTAATGCAATCATAGTTCCTACTAGAAATCATCTAAACTGCTGAAAGAGCCACAATGCCTTTTAAGACTTACCCTTATTATCAAGTTGCACTGTGCCTATCATTATCTGAAATATAATTGAAAGACAACAAAAAAAAAAACCCAAAGAAAACTGGAAGGCAGCTTTTAATTACATGCCTCTTTCCTGTCTAGTTTAAGGATTGTCAGTGAATCTCAAAAGAAAAGCACAATAATATGGGTTGATACATGATCTCTGCTCATCACTGCAAATCCACATTGAACATCAATCAAGTTTATTGATAAATGAAGTGCTGTAAAATATTAACATCTGAAAATACCAGAACTTTATTTTGTTAGTGTAAGGAATTCTAGAGACATTCTTTCCCTTTTTAAAAAAGGGCCAATCCTTTAAAAAAATACATTTAAAAAACCCACAAAAGAGAAGAACCAAACTTTAATCAGTGTATTTGAGAAACTTGGATGAATCCATAAGCATACACTTTCTTACACTTTACTTGCAAACATCTGCTTTCACCATTACTAGGCTTCGCACCAACCTATAGGACATCTATCAGGATGAACACTAACAGACATTTCCCAAATGATACTTTACCATGCTGTGTATATAATTCCTGGATAATTCAGAAGGCAGACAATACATATACAGTCCAGGGACTGTATTCTCTATCTAGAAAACCCTGGAAAGGGTGTCGCCATAAGTTGAAATCAACTTGACAGTGCCCGTGTACACAAAGAGTATTTGCTCATCTTCCACTGCCCTGGAATCAGCTCTTCCTGTGGCCAACTGGAGAGAGAGGAAGGTCTCAGAGAGACAAAGGTACAGTAGTTCTTGGTGGTTGTTAAAAAAATCCCTGTCAAACTGATTGACTGATACCTGTGAGGCATTAGCAGCATCACCATGGATACCACAAACTGCCTTCCTTTGGATGTTAACCTTTTCTAACCTTTCTAGGTATGCATGTTGCAAGCCTGTAACATGTACATTAGGGCTTCTGACTCAAGTTGCTGCTTAATGAAACAAATGAATCTGCAGTCATGATAAAGAACCACAGATAAATGTTGTGAAGAAGTAAAATGTGGGATGAAAAAGGCAAATGCACCCACTGACCAATGTAGGTGTAGCGAACACCTATATAATGTGGTATTGGCCTGCACCAATGGGAGCTGCTGGGAGGCGGAGCCAGAGAAACCAGGAGGGAGGGGTGAATCAGAGTCTAATCAGTTCAGTCAGAGACAGAGGTTGGGAAAAAAGTTTGGGGGTTTGAGGCAGAGAGAGAGTGTTTAAGGAGTTATTAGTCAGAGTGTGACCTGTATTAATTAAGATAGAAGAGGTTAAAGTAAAATACCTTCGTGAGCTCTGTGTTTGGTGATACAAGCAGGGGCCACGGGGTGAATCTCACAGTAGGTTTTACCAAGCAGGGGCCACGGGGTGAACGTCACAGTAGGTTTTATATTCTCATTATATATGGATATAAACACAAAGATGTAGTTTTAGAAGAGGTAGCCATGTTAGTATGTCTAGTATATCAGGAAAAACCAAAATAAAGATAAAAAAGAAAAAAGAAAAAAGAGTTGTGGCAAAGACTATAAAAAAGACAAAAGACAAAAAAGTTGTGGCAAAGACTATTATATTTTAATGTGGTATTTTGTGGACAAGTCCACATCCTTTATTTGTCTGAAGAGTATTTTGTGGACAAGTCCACATCCTTTATTCATCTGAAGAGGTGGACATCCACAGAAGCTCACATTAAAATATGGCAGTTAGTCTTTACAGTGCCACCATGTTTTTGACTTCTTTAATTTCTATTTTTCTTTTAGTTTTGTTTGAAATACAAAGATGATTCGCTTTTTTCCAGAGGACCAGCCATGTTACTCACTCATAGACTGTTCATAATACATTTAAACAGTGGCTTGTTCTCCCTCTTTGTAGAATTCCTGAAGTGTCCCCGATTAGGCCTCATCTATTTTCATGTTCATTTAGCACCAGCTGAGAAACATTTGTGGTGAAGGTTACACAAGTGCACAAAATGAAATTTGTGGCTCCTGTCTCTGGAGAATGAGCCAGCTCACATTTCAGTTAACCCTAGAGGTGTGCCCATGCCATCATTTTATCTTTCACCTTGGATCAGAAATTGTGCTGCAGCTGAAAGGCAGTCAGACAAATAAAAGAAAATGCAATTAAATGTCTGTCAATTCCACACAAAGTCATAATAGAGCGTTCTCCCAAAATATGCTTGAGGTTACATATTGCCACAATCGTAACTTTAAAATCCTGAAACTCTAGTAACTATATGCCAGTCCAGACACTACAGTTCTTATCTAAACAAGTCAATCTTTCTGCCTTGTGTATGATCACCTTGGACTGCCTTGCAGGATCAGACAAAATGTCACTTATCCTTCTGATATGGTCGAGCTTTCTTCCCCAGCTAAAATGTGACTGACTCAGAAATAAGCCAAGCAATTTCCCACAACACTTTGGAATCAATCTAAATTTAGCCAATCCTCCTCACATGAACACCCAGAAATCCTTGCTCCCTAAACTATCAAACACATGCCCTCCCCATGTCACTTTCTGACTTGTCTGGAATTCTTAAAAAGAAATTAGTCTTCATGATAGTTCCAAGAACCCCCACTTCCAAAAATGTAGGCAGCTATGGCAAGTTCTTAAAGAAATGGGAGTGCCTGACCACCTTATCTATCTCCTGAGAAACCTATATGTGGGACAGAAAGCAACAGTTAGAACTGGATATGGAACAACTGATTGGTTCAAAATTGGGAAAGGAGTACAACAAGGCTGTATATTGGCCCCCGGCTTATTTAACTTATAAGCAGAATACGGCATGCGAAAGGCCAGACTGGAGGAATCCCAAACTGGAATTAAGATTGCCGGAAGAAATATCAACAACCTCCGATATGCAGATGATACCACTCTGATGGCAGAAAGTGAGGAGGAATTAAGGAAGCTTGTAATGAGGGTGAAAAAGGAGAGTGCAAAAATGGTATGAAGCTATACATCAAAAAAAAACCCACACACACAAAAAACCCAAGATCATGGCGACTGGTCCCATCACCTCCTGGCAAACAGAAAGGGAAGATATGGAGGCAGTGATAGATTTTACTTTCTTGGGCTCCATGATCACTGCAGATGGTGACAGCAGCCATGAAATTAAAGGATGCCTGCTTCTTGAGAGGAAAGCGATGACAAACCTCGACAGCATCTTAAAAAACAGAGACATCACCTTGCCAACAAAAGTCCGCATAGTCAAAGCTATGGTTTTTCCTGTAGTGAATGGAAGTGAGGGCTGGACCATAAAGAAAGCTGACCGCCGAAGAATGGATGCTTTTGAATTGTGGTACTGGAGGAGGCTCCTGAGAGTCCCATGGACTGCAAGGAGAACAAATCTATCCATTCTAAAGGAAATCAAGCCGGAGTGCTCACTGGAAGATGAGGCTCCAATACTTTGACCATCTCATGAGAAGAGAAGAATCCCTGGAAAAAACGCTGATGTTAGGAAAGTGTGAAGGCAAGAGGAGAAGGGGACGACAGAGGATGAGATGGTTGGACAGTGTCATCGAAGCCACCAACATGAATTTGACACAACTCCGGGAGGCAGTGGAAGACAGGAGGGCCTGGCGTGCTGTGGTCCATGGGGCCATGAAGAGTCGGACACGACTAAATGACTAAACAACAACTACTGGAGTTGCAGTTTTTCCCCAAGTATTTCTTGACTTTTATAAGTTATGTAACAAAATATCCAATTACATTTTAATTGCTTTTTAAAAACTGAAGGTTATGAGATACTTTGTTGTCACTTCAATGTCTACAAGAGGGCATAAGGCACAACATGAGCCAGAATTTGAAATGCGATATTCTTTTTCTATTATTTTGTAAGTCTACACCCTAACTATAAAAGTAACCAAAATTATAAATGTATTGCAAAAGGAGGAACAATATCCCTTGTTAAATTACTGCTGTAATGTTATGTAGTACTGTATAATGTACATTTTTTTACTGAAAAGTAAATTAACTGCAAATAATCCATTATTTGTAGCTAATTACTTTCAAGCTGTCAGGAAGAGCAAGCAGAAGAAAGTAAGAATTAATTTACTACTTTTCTTCCCTTTTTCCAAGGGCTACTGCATACAGTAAAAGAGAAGGAAGTATTAGATTTTTTGTTAGATGACTGTGTGAACAAGACTTCAGTTTTTCAGCAAGATAAAGACTTCAACAAGATGAAGGATGACCTGCTGGGATGTGTCATAATCATGCTGCTATATAGTAATAGAGGGTTAACTGAAAGAATTATTCTACTTAAGAACAAATAAGAATTATACAGC